ACTCCAGGTGTGCGTCTCAGGAGGCTCGCTGTGTCTTGGCCTGGGCTTGAGGCGTTGGGGTTTTCAGGGCGCGGCGTTAGAGGTTTAGAGATCTTGGTGTTGGGATGTGGTTAGGAATTTGGGGTGAAATTGGGATTTGCGGCGGCTTCACACTGTGTGCCCCTACGCGCCAGGGCTTAAGGTCCGGGGAATGGGGTCCTTGCGTTGAGGCTCAGAAAAGGTTCGGCTCCGTAAAGTTCCCCGTTTGGTTTGGGGTTTGGGGTACAACGGGCCTAGAACCCACCACACACTTGGAGAATCCTCTGTCTATGGTTGCTTCGAAATCCCCCGTCACACGAAAGACGAGCCTGTTGGGATGTGGAACTTGCAGGCTTGTTGTGATCTTGCAATCGCGGAGACCTCAAATCTTGACATCTTAAACTTTCGAGCCCCCAAACTTCAAGCCTTGAACCCATTCCAGGATCCCCAGAGCCCTAACTCCCAAGCCCTGCCCACCCCTCCGAAGTCTACAGAGACGTCCTCCCCCAAGGATATGGAAGTGGTGAGGCCTGACGGGGCCATGTCGCCTTGCTTGTCTTAGCTTTAGCTTATGAACCGGGGTTTGTAGGTTGAGGGTTTAGGGTGTGGGTGGTCAAGGAGTGTAGAATTTCGGTGTCTGAAACGATCAGTAAGAATATGGCCTTCATGTCCCGACCCACCGTCATACACAAAATAGGTGTAGTCATACCTATGAGATGCACCCAAACCCCGCTCCGACGATGTTTGGGGACGCAGAGAGTTCGGACCTGGCGCTTTTTTCGATCAGGCCTTGCATTGGCCTCACTGTCTTGACCGTCAATCTCCCTACAGCCCAAACCATAGATCCTAAAGCATGAACCATGAACCCTAGAACATCCTAAAACCCCAATGCCCAAACCTCAAAGCCGAACTAAGCCCTTAGAGCTCACCGAAACTCAAAGTCGAGGAAGTTGAGCTTCGAGACAATCGGACCCTCTTCTCCCTGCCTGGCAGCCGAAAGCGCTTGGCCAAATCAGGACCGCCACCCTGGAGGTTGCATTGGTTTTTGTGCCCTCAGTGTTCAGGGTTCAGCTGGGCTTAGGAGATGTAGAGTTTAGACTTTGGTAGGGCTTCTAATGTTTAGCCTTTTTGGTTTGGAATTTAAGGTGTCTGAGGGCTGTTCAAGGTACAGGGTCACTTTTAGGTTCAGTGTGAACACGAATTAATTGCTCCCGAATTCCAAGGTCTTTTACTGCATTATGACTCGTAGTGTTTGAAATTTAGCGTATTTAGCAACTGGCGCTCCGCTGTGGGGATTTATGGAGCTTTGGTTTTAGCTGCCAGGGAGCGGTCCTA